GAGCCATTTATCCCTCCGCCCTTCAATTAACCCCACATGTGTTTATTGGCCAGGTTGGCACAATTAACTAACTACCTCAAAGAGGAAGTTCCTTGACAAGATGATTGACAGAGTGGCTGCATCAATGGGCTCAGACATAGGAACAATTGTAATGATGGCGCAGGACCACACAGTGTTGTGCATAGGGTTCCTATGGATTCTAGCTGACTCAATGACACTTAACAACAACAACAACAACCATCTAAATAATCCTGTGGGGGTAATCTTGGACCTTTTGGCAAAAATTGGGTCATGCTTAAGTGAGCAAGTAGCCATTTTAAAAATAATGGATTTTTGATAGATTTCCTTGCTGGCCTGTACCAACCGCAAACTGGCTGTTCTTGGGTTAACTCTGACTCATAGTAATCCCTTGTGTTACAGAGTAGAACTGCTCCATAGAGTTAGAAATGTAATTAGTCTACTAGAAACTCACCTGGGGGCAGCTTTTGTCCAGAGCGGTCATTTCCAATCAGTGACCAATTTGTACCTCACAGAATATTTGACAATATCTAGAGACATTTTTGATCACCAGGACTGGCAACAATGGATACACTACTGACATCTAGTTAGTAGAGTCCTGGGATGCTACCAGACATCCTACATAGCACAGAACAGTCTCCCACAACAAAGAACTATCTGCCCAACACTTCAATAGTGCTGCTACTGAGACACCGCCTCTAGCTAGTCCCACCCTCGCCCCCCAACTCCCACCGGGAACTTGAGGAGATTCAGGGAAGGTGTGTTAGACTGTGGTGTGAAAGCAGTTTGTTGCCGTGGAGGGTGCCTCCTGATCTTTGGTGAAGGGAATACAAAGGTAAGCCTTGTCCACTCCCTTGGAAAAGGAAAATCTTACGGTTTGCTCATTGGACTAAAGTCAGCCCCCTTTCAGGGTGTCATGGCGAACGCTACAGAGACACAAGGTCATGAGACTAGTCAGTGTTCCTCCCTATACTTCCAAGTTATGAATCCTCTAGGAAACATAAACAGAAGTGCAACTTCTTTGGTGAATTGACTATATTTTATTTATTTCTGAAGGTTAACATACAAGATTCACGAGCAGTCCTGACTTAGACTCAGTGTTTCTCTGACAGTGACTGCACCATTTAGCCATCACACCTAAAGAGCCCTAGGACTACACCCAGTTCTATTTTAGAATGGGTCCCTTAAAACCAAGAATGGGTTTCGGTTCCTCCTGAGTTCTCCGGAATTCAGATATGTTTGGTCAAAAGAAAATAATATCAGAGAAGAAATACAGGGAAACTAGACTCTTTAGTATCAGTTTTATTTTTCAGCTGAGGAAAGGAGACGGCTCCAGCACCCCAACTATATACCATTTAGAGACAACTGGAGGATGCGAGCAGTGTGATCTGGAGAGGGTCTCTGCTTTTCCCTGTGAGCCAGGGCCTTGGGGTTCAGGACACAGTGCCACGACAGTCAATGCAGTATGGATGACACACACGCTTCTCTGAGGGCAGTTTCCTTCTCTGATGAGGCCTTGAGCCAGAGACTCAGGGAAATTTTAGGGGAAAGGTTCTTATTTCTCCCTTTGCTTTTGCCCTCCCAGGAGGTAGAATTCAGGAACCTGGGTTGAAATGAAGGAGTCAAGTGTTCATAAATGCCTGTGAGTAGCTCCCCAGTTTCTGAGACTAGACAGCGAAAGGGCCTAAGGTTACCAAAAGATGGTGTACTGGACATTTAGTCTTCACCTCCCTTCCTTTGTTTGGGGAACTCCCTCACTCATCAAAGGCAGAGCCCACTCACCACAGGGTAAGCGAGAAACATCAGTATTTAGATTCCTAACCTCCCTCGGAGGTAGACGCGAACATGTGATCTAGGAGAGCCCCGTTAGTCCCAGACTTTAAATCAGAAGCCGGAGATGTCAAGACGGAGGAGGGGCTGTGGAGACAGCATCTTGATGGTAGCCGGTGCAACAGCAACAGTAATTATTCTATTTCCAGGCCCGGTGGAGGATTGAGGCAGGGGCGTCGTGGGGTCAGCGGTCAGTGACAATGAAACTGTGGCACCCACATCATTCACCCTGCACGGGCTTTTGTGGTTTCGGGCTGTGGTCCTACCCACATTGAGTGTTCCCCTTTACTGCCCATTTCCACCACACGGTTTTGCAGAATGCCCTAACAAGTACTTGAGCCAATCAGTCAATATCTTTTCAGTAGGTTTCTGTAAGTAAAATCCTCAGTCTTTTTCTACTGCTCAGGACCCTATTATAGAAGTTGGCACCAGGAAATGCGCGTAGAACTGAATGGAGGAGGCAGGGCTAAGGACAATCAGAACCTCAGAGTTTCAGGCTAGAAACTGGTATCCTTTGTTATGCAATTGTAAAATAGTTGGTTACTTTGTAAAGTGCTTCGTAAGTTTATATAAGAACCATAAGAAAAAGAGAAGTTTAATCAAGGAACGTTGGAAACTCTCCATGAGTTTGGATCTGAGCAGATAATAGAACTTTGCCAAAGGAGGCTCTTTCGGTCAGCCTACAATCTAAGTTATTTCAAGTCCAATCATTTGAAGCTAAAACACTTTAATTTTCTACTCCACGATAAATTTAGTGTGAGGAGAGGTGTGCAGGGACTTGGCAGTACCTGCCACTGGCCTTGATGCTCAATACCACTGAAACCTGGGGTCTGAGAATGGGTTCAGAATCAAGTGACGGAGAATTTTAGCTGAGGCTCCAGGTTTGTTATCCAGGGGAGGGAACCAAGAATTAGGATTTAAAACTATGAGCAGTTGAAAGTTTGTCAGGGATCCCCCTCTGATGCATGCTGGACCTGATCTGGTTTTCAACATTTTCTGTGTTTTTGTTTGTTTTTGTTTACTCATATTAGGGTGTATCTCAGAGGTGTTATGTCATGGGAGGTCACCTTTATGAAGTTGTGTTATATGATTTTATGAGTTTCAGCATATAAAACCTAGGATTGATGAACCCATAGGGACAATATGTAGAATAAGAGTTTCAGGGGGCGGGTGGGGGGTTAAAAGGGAGCCGATGTCAAGGAGCCCAGGAAGAAAAAGAATGTTCAGAAACTGATTGTGGTAGCAATTGTACAATTTTGCTCAATGTGATTGAACTATGGAGTAGTATGATATATGTATTAACTCCCAATTAATAATAAGGTTTTATATATATATATATTTGGAAAGGAGACATTGCTCTGAGATAAGTTTTCCTGAGAATCTCAAGTTCTTTGGTAATGTGCATCCCTAAACACATACCATTTGTCTTTAAAAGGAAATAGCATTTGCTCAAAATCATACTTTTAAGAATGGCAGATGGGTGTCATTCTGTTATGCAAAGTTCAGAGACCTCTAAGTCTGTTTGTTGACTGTTTACCCACTCTTTAGCTGTTTATTGATTCTTTAGTTTTTGAGCTTTGCAAATAAAAATACTGATTCTCTTAGTTACTCTTACACACTAGCCATGGAGTGTTTTACACATAATAAGGAATTCACTTTGTTTCTCACCCAGAGAGAACAACAGGCCCAGAGCCCGAGTCAGGTCTGCATGGTGCTCGGGATCAGCTTACAGAACAACAGAATGTAAACTTTTTCAGATTCGGCAGCTGGTGGTCAAATGCCTGGGATCGTCCTCTGTGTCCTGCCTTTCTGTCTTGGGCCTTTAATCTCCAATCCCACAAAGAAGAAGAGACTCAGAAGTCTGGGCTCACTGGACTCATGTGCACCGCACTTCGTCTGGTACACCACAGGATGGAAAGCGACGGTCAGTCTGTCTCCATTCCACGTCTCGTGCCTGGAAAAGCCTCCTCTTTGTGTCCATTGCAGGTGAGTGTGGAGGAACCATCGCCAGGGCGTTGATCCGAGAAGGGTACAGATGCACCGAGTGCCAGTGGGAACTTGGGGGCCCCCGGCCCAGTTTTGTGTTTACTTCGGTTCTTCCGTCGTCCTTTAGAAAGTCCCTTCCTTGGATCTGTGGTGTCAGCTGTCCGGAAGGGTCACACTGGCATAGACTGTGATGGAGTTTGGGTCCTGATGGCCAAACAAAAGGAGTCTTAGCAGAGGGACCAGACACTGGGTCCACAGGGTACACATGGAAACTGTGGAAGAGGATCTAGAGACCCTGTAGCATGGGGACTTGCTAGGCACTGTCAAGATGGGGACATTGCTGGAGACAGCACTCCAGACTGCCCGTGCCACTCACAAGACTGACAGCTGCCTTCTAAGCACTCACATGCCACCTAGCAGAGGGGAGACTGTTCCAGTGTGATCTGAGCACTGGTACTCAGCGCCATCTCTCTCCTCCTCCTTCGAAAGCACAACGATCTGTTTGTGGTGGGCATGGGGCCCAGTGTGAAGGAGCCAAGAGGGTTTTAATGTGCTGAACTTTAGAAAGGGCTAATGAAGCCGGAAGGAGCCCTGGTGGCGTGATGGTTACTGGTTGGGCTGCTAACGGCAAGGTCAGCAGTTTGAGACCACCAGTCAGCTCCCAGGGAGAAAGATGGGGCTTTCTAGTGCCGTGAAGAGTTACAGTCTCAGAATCTCACAGGGGTAGTTCTGCCCTGTCTGTAGGGTCACTGTGAGTTAGCACCCATTGGACGGCAGTGAGTTTTTAAATTTGTTTTGTCTTGTTTGTTTGTTTTAGTGAAGTCTGAAGGGTCAGTCCCTGGGTCATGAACCATGTTAACATGTTTGGTTGCTAACTGAAAGGTTGGCAAGTTAGGTTCTCCCAGAGCCGTTTTGAGGAGAAAGGCCTGGAGATATACTTGTAGAAAGAAGTCCCTGGAAACCCCGGGAGCACAGTTCTACCCTGACACACACGGAGTCACCTGAGTCGGGTGAACTTGACCATCACTGAGCCAGGTAGGAAGGCCTGAAAGGACCAGGAGGAATTGGTGCAGGCAGGAGGGTGGGTAGGGGGATAGGGTAGAAAAAAGACTTCTCAGAGAGAGTTTTAGATCAAGAACGAGATGGGATGGGGGAATTTAGGAGGTTTTACTATAGAATGTGAAATTATCATACAGTTCTTGTTCCACACACAAACTTTAGTGGGTATCTTCAATTTTTTAAAAAGATTCTGAAGTCAGATTTATGTTTTCAGTTCCTCCTTGAAAATGACAAGGAGCCAAAAAAAAAAAAAAAAGAAAAATGAAAATGACAAGGAGCCCTGGTGGCGTGGTGGTTATGTGTTGGGCTGCGATCCACATGGTTGGCAGATCAAAACCACCAGCAGCTCTGTGGGAGAAAGACTGGGTTTATTACTCTTGGGAGCAGTTATAGTCTTTAAATGACTAGAGGGCCCCATGAGTCAGCATTCACTCAATGGCAGGGAGTTTGGGTTGGTTTTTGAAAATGACAATGGACTAAGAATCAACCTCAAGATGTCTTCTCTTTGGGCACAGTAGGAGCTTTGTGAAAGAAGGGTAGCTAGTAGGCCTTCCTGCGGCCTTTCAAGCCTGTCTTCTTCCCGAAAACACTCTATTTAATACCAAACCCAAAACCTCTGCCATCCAGTCAATTCTGACACACAGCGACCCTACAGGACAAGGTAGAACTGTTCCTGCGAGTTTCCGAAACTATCACTTTTTAATGGGCGTAGAGAGCCTCGTTTTTGTGCCCTGGAGTGGCTAGTCATTTCAAACTGCTGACCTTGTGGTTAGCAGACCAAAGTGTACCATGCTACCAGGGCTCCTTTGATGGAACACAGCCTACCCATATTAAAACGAACCATCCTAAAGTGCACATGCCAGAAGTATCAAAGCCAGGAGCCAGGATGTTAGCTCAGAAATTATTTCTGTCCATTTAGTAAGGAGGACAGATTTCTAGAAGAAGTGAAGTTAGTACACACTGGTCTTGCTGTGCCCTAGAACAGGCGAGCGGGACTCATTCTGGGTTGCATGCCACATTCTCTTCTCAGCCTCAGGCCCACGCAGAACTCCATCACAAATATTCTGATTCAGTAAGGCTGGATAGGACCTTGACCATGAGAAGTTTTGTAAGTTTTCGTAAGCACCCCTGCCCCCGTTATTTTGTTATGCAGCAGGAGGGGAGCAGTCACTAAGGACCCCCGAAGGCCCTAGCTGCCTACTGGAGGTGGCTCCCTCCTTAATGCGTTCTACACCAGCTTTCAAAGGCACCCCCCTTTCCTTTCCTCTGCCCATCCCTTCTCCCTAGAGAGGAGGCACGGAGAGCACACTCACCTGGACAGGCTCTGGAACAGGATCTGGGATAGGCTCAGCGGCAGCAACGTAAATAGTGGTACAGGGGTCATGAGCTGGCAGGAACTCAGGTGTCTTCTGAACAGCCTGTACAGGCAGCAAAGAGAGCAGAGGATTTGTTGAGCAGAGAGCTGAGAATTGTATGCAATCTTGATATTTGAATTTGATTGCTCTGGAAGCCTTTAGGTTGAAAAGCAACACTGGAATATTAGGGAAATATTTTGGTTCAATACATTGAGGATCTTCTAATAGTAAAAGAAGCTCAAATGTGGCATGGTTTTCTTGGAAAGCAGTGGATTCCTCATAAGCAGATCTATTCAGGTGTGGGCTTTAGCGTGTATGTCAATTACCTGGGAATCTTGTTAGAGATTGGGTCTATAATTGAGCCTGTACGATAATATAGACATACAGATCAGTGAAGCAGAATAGAGAACCTCAGAATAGAATCACACACGTACAGACTCTTGGTTTATGATGAAGGTGGTACTGCAATGGGGGAAGGACAATCTTCTTAGTATACAGTCTATAGGCTATCCATATGGGAAAATAGGACCATTAAACTACCCAACTACATGGACACCCTCCTTCCCCACAGAAGAATTCACTTCAGAAGAACGCACTGAAGCTACAGCTTAGGAGAGGGGTGAGTCTGATCAGAGCACACAGGAGCAAATGAAGAGGGAAGGAGTGGAGCACATCCTGGCCCACCAAGCCCTGGGAATGATATTCCTGCTCAGAGCAGCCAATGCATAGAGAGGACCATAGGGCTGGCCCCACCATGAGACACAACATCCCTCACTGACCCACAGCACTACTGGAGACAACACAGGAGACACAGTGTGGGAATTGTGCCCCATCTGACCCCACCATACGGGGCGAGACACTAAGAGTGCATGCGCAACAGAGCAGGAAGGGGAGCAGAGCAATGAAGTCCTGGGGGAATACCAAAAATAGACTTTGGGGCCAGGGTGTGGCACCCCATCAGACTCAACCGGAAAACACTCATAAAAGTCAACAAACAGACCTGGAACTATTTCTAGGGTTTTCATTCTTTCCTCTAGTTTTTGTTGTTTTGTTTTATTTTGTTGGTTCGTTTTGCTCTGTCTTGTTTTTGTGCTTATTATTGTCTCTGCATGTCTACCTAGATAAGAGAGGCGATATAAACAATCCTGAGGAGAAAACAACAGGACTGATGGTTCTGGGGGGATAGGGAGAGGGGGAGATAGGGGGAAAGAAGTGCGTGTTAACAAACCCAGGGACAAGGGAACAACAAGTAATCTAAAATCGATGGCGAGGAGGGTGTAGGAGGCCTAGTAGGGCTTGATCAAGAGCAATGTAACTGAGAGGAATTAGTGAAACCCAAATGAAGGCTGATCATGATAGTGGGACAAGAGGAAAGTAAAAGGAAATAGGGGAAAGAACTAGGAGGCAAAGGACATTTATAGAATTCTAAATACAGGCATGTACATATGTAAATGTATTTATATATAATGATAGGGAAATAGATCTATGTACATACATTTATATGTTAAGTATTAAGATACCAGACTGACATTGGGCCTCTTCAAGTACTCCCTCAATGCAAGAACACTTTGTTCTAATAATCTGTCATTCCATGAGCTCACTTTCCTGACACAATCATTGAAGACAAAACAGGTGCATAAGCAAATATGGTGAAGAAAGCTGATAGTGGCTGGCTACCAAAAGATAAAGCATCTGGGGTCTTAAAGGCTTAAAGATAAACACACAGCCTTCTAGCTGAGAAGCAACAAAGCCCACATGGAAGAAACACACCAGCCTGTGTGATCAAGAGGTGTCAATGGGATCAGGTATCAGGCATCAAAGACCCAGAACAAAAAATGATATCATTGTGAATGATGGGGAGTGCAGATTGGGGACTCAAAGCCCATCTGCGGCAACTGGACATCCCTTTACAGAAGGGTTGTGGGGAGGATATGAGCCAGTCTGGTTGCAGTGTGGAAATGATGAAACATACAACTTTCTTCTAGTTTTTAAATGCTTTCTCGCCCCTGATATCATGACCCCAATTCTACCTTACAAATCTGGCTAGACCAGAGCATGTACACTGGTACAGATATGAACTGGAAACACAGGGAATCCAGGACAGATAAACCCCTGAGAGTAGCCATACCAGGAGGGTAAGAGGAAGGTGGAAGGAGAAAGGGTAACCAATCACAATGATCTACCTATAGCTCCCTCCCAGACGGATGGACAACAGAAAAGTGAGTAAAGGGGAACATTGGTCAGTGTAAGACATTAAAAAATAATAACTTATAAATTATGAAGGGTTCATGAGGGAAGGAGAGAAAAAATGAGGAGCTGATACCAAGGACTTAAGTAGAAAAAAAAATTGACAATGATGATGGCAACATATGTACAAATGTGCTTGACTCAATGTATGTATGTATGGACTGTGATAGGAGCTGTATGAGCCCCCAATAAAAAGGAGGATGCTAAAACTTCCAAGACATACAAATAGCTGTTCAACCTCTTTAAAAATTGTGGAGGTGCAAAATAAAAGCACAATAAGATATGTTTGATAGAATGGCTGAAATTAAAAAGACTGATAATACCAGGTTTTGAGGAGAATATACAGCCATTAGAATGCTCATATATTGCTGGTGGGAAAGTAAATGAGTATATCGACTTTGAAGATAAGTTGGCTTTCTCTACTTGGTTTGAGCTATGCATACTCTGAGTCAACAATTCTATGTCTAGGTATATATTGTGGTTGTTGTTAGGTGCCATTGGGTGGGCTCTGCCTCATTGTCACCCTATAGACAACAGATAGACAGGGAAGTCACCATGGAAGAGATAAACTTGGTTATCTAAAGGTGTAAATGCATCCAAGTGGGAGGGGTGTGCTCTGGGTTCTCTTGCGTATTTTACTTGAGCTTGCTTCTCAGCAGGGACTGTAAAAAACCCACTGCCACCCAGCTGATTCTGACTCACAGTGACCCGATAGGACACAGTAGGACTGTTCCCCAGCTTCAGAGAGTATACATCTTTACGAGAGCAGGGATAGTGGCTTCCAACTGTTGATTTGTGATTAGCAGCCCACCCCTGTACGCACTCTGCTCCTAGGCCTGTTAGCTCCCTGGGCTGTGGAACAGCCACTTTCCAGGCCACGAGGAGGAGCGGAAATAAGGGCATTGTCCAGGAGTCCACCTCTTCTTTCTCAGACAGGTGCTACTGTCTTCTGAGGCAATTTCCCAAGTTATCAGTCAAGCTACCTTTTTCCTTCACACTCTCTATTCCAGGATATTCCCCCTCCCACAACTGGATTCTGTACTGCACATTACTTAGATTGTTGCATAGCTGAAAAACTGCATCTTGGTATGGAACCACTGGTTTTAAGCCTCTCTCTTTGATTTCTTGACTAGCTTCTCTTCCTGCCTTCGTTTGCTCTGTCCTTTTCTGTTTGTCTCTTGGCCCCTCCACCACTGTTTCACTTGTTCCAGCTCCAGTCTACATACCAGTCAATCACTCTCTAGCCAGATTCTCAGGAGCCCCTTCCCTTGTCTCTTTAGCACCTTGCAAGCCCCTAAACAAGGGTCAAGTCAAACATGCCACTCCTTTCCAAACCTTCCCTGCTCTCTGCAAGCCTAGAGAAAGATGAGTTTGGTTTAGAGCTATAGACTCCTAGAATGTCAAAGATGGTAGAAATCTGACACATATGTGTTAATAACTTGTTTTTTCCAATAAAGCAAGATTATCTAGTGTTTTCCATTATTTCAAATAATAAATAGTCCCAGCTGACACTGAAGCTTAGTCATCTTTTGGATAGTTTTTGTTCCTGATTTCTGTTTCCCTATTTTCATCTGCTCCAAACCCCACGTAGGACCATGGGTGTCAGCTGTGTGAAGGGGATTGGCTAGGAATCCTATGGGGGGCATGACAGGCCCTGCCCAGACAAAGAACGGTAGAGACTTACACCTGAGTTCTGGACTTGGGCGTAGATCGTCAGGCTTTTTGCTTCCACAGCCGGCTGGGCAAGACCTGCTTTACCTAGAGGAGGGCAGAGGAGTAGTTATTTCTTCTTGATTCTTAGCTTGAGCTCTCACCTCAGGCCTAGTCAGTCTCCACTCTCCGCTGCACATCCGTCTCCCCCAAGAGCACCAGCTTTGGGCTCACGCACACAGAACATCAAGTTCCAACGCCCGTGTACCTGTGCCACATGATGTTCAGTTTGTTGCTTGATTCCTCTGAACTTGTTTCACTATCTGTGAAAGGACATGAAAACCTGTCCTGTAGGACTGTTGCGGTGATTGAAGTAGACATGCCTTGCAATGAGCTAAGATCAGTTGCTGGAACATAGTAAATGTCAGAAAATGTTGGTATGTGCGGGGTGTTACTCTCACTCGCATCACGTGAGTTTATATTGGTTGATAAAGATATCTGTACATCATTCTAAGTTACCTGATTGCAGGGACACTATGTCTCTTTTGTGTTCTCCACTAATAACCCATTGCGCCGCCTACCGCTTTCTTGCTGTCCGTTTCTAGGGGGCTTATTGGGTGGCAAGGATGTAGGAGGAATGACCCAAGTGAGACGATTTGGAAGATTAAGCCACAGTTGCACTCTAATGCTCACTATTGAGAAATTGTACCCAACCCAAGATCTCTGGAAATTAGAGAACATTTCAGAACATTTAAATGTTTAAACTGGTCTTTAAAAGTTCTTATTAAATTATAGGATATAGGGGGTTTGAATGGAGAGAAAATGTTTTGAGAAACGATGTACGGATGCGCTTTGCACAATTGATGTGTGTGTGGATTGGGATAACAGTTGTATGAGCCCCTAATAAAATGTTAAAAAAAAAAAAGAAAAAAAAAGAAAAAAAATTATAGGATATATTCACATTACACGAGGGCTCTATGCTAGGTGAGATAACGCAATCACAAAAGGACAGGTATTGTATGACCTTACCTATAAAAAGACAGGAACAAGCAAAGGTATAGAGTCCGAAGTTTATTAGTGGGTACGAGGGGCAGGAGGAAATGGTAAGGGAGCTATTGTTGAGGGAGTATTGAGTCTGTTGACAGTGATAGAAAAATCACATCGATTAAGCATTGTCGAGTTGGACACCAAATTCACGTACATGGAAGTTGTACACTTCTGAAAGCTTGAATAGGGAGAAGCAGCGGGATAAGCGTGTTATGACGACAGAGAGAGGCTGCTGAGGCTGCTCCTATACAACTAAACACTTCGTGGGGTTCGACTCCTTGGTTCGGAGGTTCAGGGTCCTAGTTTCATGGGACATACCAGTTATCTGGTCTAATAATATCTTTAGTGCTTCTGCCCTACCTCCTAGTTTATTGTGTAGTGCCTAGTGCCTCAATGTCTGGCAAGTGGCCATCCAAGCCACAAGTGGTCTTCATTTGCCTGAAGCAACTGTGGAAGAGGAGAGGAATTGGAGGAGGATATGGAATGTGTGACTAACTGCCTCAAGGAGCAACTGCCTTCCCTGCAGGGAGACCACAAGAACTGGATGGGGTCTGACTACCACTAATGAACATTTTGGTCTAAGATTCTATAGCAGGATTCTGATTGAAAGGGAGGAAATGCAGAACAGAATTCCCAATTCTATGGGTCCAACATTTCTGGAGCCATGGAGGCTGGACGAACCCCTGAGATAATCTTTAAATCTCAAATATCCTCTGAAGACTTCTTAAAACAAACAATAGCAAAGACGGTCTGCCTTAAGAATTATACTCTTTGAAGATCAATTTATATGGGGTCAAATCGACAGCTTACCTCATTGCCATCGGGTCAATTCTGACTCCTAATGACCCAATAAGACAGAACAGAACCGCCCCTGTGGGTTTCCAAGACTGTAACTCTTTATGGGAGTTAAGAAGTCTCATCTCTCCCCAGGGTTTGAATTGCAGACCTTGTGATTAGCTGTCCACTGGGTCCCCCACCATGCCATCAGGGCATATTTGAAAAGATTAGCTCGGGTTAATGCAGAGGAATAACTCTGAGAGGGAGGATGAGATGGCTGTAAAACTTGAAGAATTCAATTAATGTCATTGAACTGTACATATAGAAACTGCTGAATGGCTGTATGATTTGTTGTATGTATTTTCAATAACAAAATAGAATAGATTATAAATATGATATATTCTCATTACAAAAATTAGAATTGTACAAAAGTGTATAAGGTGAAACATCTACATAACCCCCCCTTCCCTCTCACATTAACCAACCCAAATTCACTCAAAGAAATAATTGTTTCACTTAGAATGTGTTGAGAACACCTTACCATGCGCTACTGTAGTGGATCTATCTCATTCTCTATAGTGCTGCACGCTATCTTTAGCATATACCAAGCAGCCGTGAGAAGAACGATGGGAATGTACGAGAATGAAGCAGAGAGAACTGTGAGGAGACTGTTGGGAAGTTCAGACCTGGGCAATGGACACCTGATACCCAGATGAAGTCCCAGTCTTTCCTGCAGACGTGCTGTATGGATAATTGGTGTGCTTAATTTATCCTCTGAGAGAACAGCACCTCAAAAATAAAACCCAACCCAACCCAAGGCCACTGAGTGATTTCTCATTCACGTTGACCCTATGGGACTGAGTGCAAATGCCCCAAAGGGCTCCCAAGGCTGTAATCTTTGCAGACAGATGGACACACTGGCTCTAACCAAGAGCGCCAGCACAGCAGTGCTTGTGAGGATGGGGCAGGACCAGGCACTGGTTTGCGCTATTGTACATCGGGCCACTATGTGATGGAAGCAACTCAATTGCCACATTTTGCCTGCTGTTGAGCTGCTAATGGGCTTGAGTGGCTGACCTTTTTGTTAGCAGTTGAGCATTTAACTACTATGCCACCAGGGCTCCTTGAATAGCACCTAAGAAAGGCATGTTTTACTTGGATGGGAGGTCGTGTGTGTATGTGGGGAAGGGGCGGGATGTGTTCCTGCATGAGGCTATGAATCCCAGGGTCCAATGATGGGGAGCCACTGAGGAAGCTAAAATAATTCAAGAAATGGGATTATTTCTGGTTGTATGAGAGGTGAGCATGGGTGGTTGCATTTTCACCTTTGTGTTCAGGCTTGATCCTGGCTGAGGAATAAGTGTGTGTGGATGTGGTTAGGATGGAGGGCCGAGGCACAGGTGATCAGAGCCTTTCGAAGTAATAAAGGGGCTGTAAGCAGAGTTTTCACAATAAACCCTTAGCTTCATGTCCTCGAGTATTTGCTAAATCACAACCACCTGTCCACCACTCTCCTTACTGCTGTCCACTCACCCCCACTACCATCGAGTCAATTTGGACTGATCATGACTGTGATAGTCAGATAATTGTATGTCAACTTGAAGATGTATCAAAGTGTAGGTGTGGAACCCAGCCCGTCCATCATTTTATACCCTCATGAGGGTTCCTTGGTCACCTTGGGGCCTCTGGGAATTGCCCTCTCTCTCTTTGTCACATTGTCTTCTTGCCTGCTGGAACTCTGGCACTGCCCCTGAGAGCTGCAGGAAGCCTGCCTTGTTTTCACCGACCTTGGATCCACATGACTCTGCACCCACCGGCCTGTGATCTTCCTGCAGTCTGCATCATTTATGGGGCCACGTGAACTTGGAGGGACTTCTGGACTAATGTTGGACTTTTGGACTTGAGTTGGACTGGGCTGGGATGCTTTCTTAATATATAATTACTTTTTAATATATAATATATATAAAATATATAATTATATAATTACTCTTTCTTATACATAGATGAGTGTCACTGGATTGAATTCCTCAGTCAGCCTGGCCTAACACAGTGATCCTACTGGACAGACTCAAACTACTCTATCAGATCTTGGAGACTGTAAATATTTATGGAAGCAGATTCAAACCAGCTAATGGGTTTGAACTGCCAACCAATACTTCACCTGGTGTACCATCAGGACTCTCTAGATGCTGTTACGTATACAAATAGAGTAGAGATCTGACCCCAGTTTTCAAGGACTTTCAGTCATGTGGGTCAGCTCAGGCTAAAACTCATCATTGGGAAGATAAGCAGAAATGATTACATAAATGGAAAAAGTGAGGGTAACCGTTGTCCCTCAAAAAGACCAGTGCATTGAGATAATTTAGTTTCATATGTTTTTCTCCAGAGCAAAAACAGATTTTCAGGAGCCAAGTCAACTGTGCCCAAAGTCAGGGAGGACTTACGGAGAAACCACATCCATTGATATGGAATCAATCCCACCCCAAAGCGATGGAGTGGATCTGCTCCGTAGAATTTCTAAGATTGAAATCTTTAAAATAGTAGACTGTCACAAATTTCTCCCACCAATGGCTGGTAGGTTTGAAAGGCCAACCCTCTGAGTTCAATAAAAAAGACCTTGAACTTAGAACAAGAGTCTCTGTATGAACAAAGCATGTCTTCCCAGTGGACCTCATCTCTCGTTATAACTGAGAGGAGATATAGAAAAGGGTGTCCTTTTCAAGCGTCACCTGAAGCATACGTTTTTCTAAGACAGTCATGACTTTGAGTGCTTTGACTCTGCTGTTTTAGGTCGTTTCCAGAAGGATTCCTAGAAGCACAGTTGTTAAAGGTCAGCAGTTGTTCTATCATAGGAAGACATAGAAGTCTGCCTCTGTAAAGATGACAGCTCTGGAAACCCTACGGGAAATTTTTCCTCGACTCCATGGAGTTGCCGTGAATCAGAATCATTGGGTGGCAATAGGGTTGATTTTTAGTTTTATACTGCTGCCAGGTGCTTCCAGTGCTTCTCTCTGCTGGCTATAGAATATAAACATTGATGTCTTAACTCGCTTACATGAAGGTATATCTATCTGTCAGTCTGTCTATCCTTTACAGATTGATCAATCATCTATATCTATCTCCCATATATCAATTTATCAATCTATCATGTATCATCTATAGATAAGTCAATCAATCAATCAATCATCTATTTATGGTAGTGACTTTGCTCAGTGATTTCTTTGTGTGTCTCATTGATCCTTACACCAATTTCAGGAAGTGCATACTATTATAACCATTGAGGAAACTGAGACGTTAAGATATTTGTCTGACCACACAGCTTGTCAGTGAACCTAAGTTTATCTAATATCAAAGTTCTTGCTAATAATGTACTCTCCTGGACATAAAATAGCCAGAGTTCATTTGAAAACCTTTAGAGTCAGACCACGTTGTTTAGATAACCAGAGAATCTCTTCAGCAAAATCTTTGAAGAATGTAATGGCTAAGAATAGATTTTGTCACAGGTTTGAGGCAGGACTTGGCATATTCCTGGTTTTCACCGAAAAAAGTGATGCCTGGAGACAAGGATGGGCAGGTATATGTTTTCTGGGTTGGTGGTAGGGAGTTGGGGTGGGGTGGGGAGCAAGGATCTCTTCAGAGTACAGACATATGATGACCAGATTGTTGAGAGGAGTGTAGGTTAGGGTACTGGCTTCTTCTCTAGCTCGGTTAATATGGGTGAGAGCTCTGGAATCTAGGTTTCTCATCTTAAGGATCTCAATGTTTCCTTAAAACCCGCCAAATGTAGTTGCCCTGCCCCATCTCTTTAGACTCTTATCATAATTTCAATATGAATCATCTCCCTTCAACTCCTCCCTAGCCGGCTCTGAGATGGAGGAAATGAGACCAAGCAAGCCACTGCGCCATGGTCTTCCTAATGTAAGCAAAACCAGCATCAAAGTGCTGAAGGAATGACTCTTCTGAGAAGGTTTCATGTGAAGAACGCTTATCTGTTTAAGAACGAAGGCAGTCATCAGCTTGGTGGTGGGACCGTTGTGTCCTTGTCCAGAAAAGCCCAGCCAGGGCATGTGATCACTGCAATCTGAGCTATTGGAAAATGGGCAGTTTGGGGGAGAGATCAGGTGCTCATCCCTCTAGAGTCTTAAATCTAAGGGACCAGTCAGGCCTTTTTATTCTGGGTGCTGAGATTTTTATGCTCCTTGTTTGGCATTAATAACCTGGTCGATCACACCTGTTTCCAAGGAGAGTCAGAATTTGTCTTAAAGTCTTAGTAAAAACGTGTTTTTTCTGTGTCTTCTGATGACCCACGAGCCTTCTCAGGGAAAGAGCACTGAGTGTTAGAGACTAGTAACAATTCTGGTGCCTCCCCAACCCCAAATGAGCTGGGTGACCTTGCATGTGCCTCTGTTACCCCAATTGGCAACCCACATGGAAACAACTACCCTGCTTCTCTAAGAGTGAGGTTGTAAGGAGAAGAAATTATAGAATGGTTTCGATCACTAGTTGAAATCATCTTATTGTAAAATCCTATTATTACTGTGTAAATATAGGTTCACTTGAATGAGGTTCAAGAATTCGCTGAATTCTGCTCCCTAGAGAATATTGTTATGCCCCTTCTCTGGACCTCTTTATCGCTGTGTACATGCTTTTACTGCAATGCCGGTTGCTGTTATGTCCTGGTAAGTAGGTTCTGACTCATAGTGACCCTATATGACAGAGCAGAACTTCCCCCATCGGATCGAAAGGCTCTACTCTTTGTGGGAAAGGGTTGCCTGGTCTTTCTCCTGTGGAGCTGTTGGGTGGATTCAACCTGCTAACCTTCCAATTAGTAGTTGAGCTCTTAACCATTGTGTTACCAGGGCACCTTTCACTGCAGGGCTAGCCATATTACATTGAAATTACTGTATATACTCGTGTATAAACCAAGTTTTCAGCACATTTTTAATGCAGTTTTTGTGGTAAAGTTGGATGCCTCGGCTGATATTTGGGTTGGCTTATACTCGAGTATTTACAGTATTAGTGCATGTGTCTGCCTCTCACAATGGACACCTGTGGCTTCTTTCTCTTTTTATCCTTACAGCTTAGTACAGGTGATCAAGACATGTTGAATGACACCGAATCAGGCCAGGTCCCAGGGTATGTTTATTTAATGCTCTTGTGAAGATGTTCCCTGTGTCAAAGTGGTGAGAGCAAGGCTATGCTATGTGGGGAGAGCTCTCTGCTTCTCACAGAGAGCCTGATAAGAATCTCTATTGCCAGACACGTACCTCTTCTTCTCACCAGTTGTATTATCACATAGATAATCATGGCAACAACGATGGCACCTATGGACAGGCATACAATCCATGCTGCCCATGGATTTGGTTCTGAAAAACAAAGTCAAAGGCAATCTCAAATACTGTGAGTTTAAAGGCCTCCCACACAACAGTGAGGAGACAGAGTCCCATGGTTGCTTTCTACATTCTCTCCCAGGGAGACAGACATTCCTTCTCACAGTTTCAGAAATCCGTTTAAACTGCTGATGTTTCCCAAATCTGTTTTATTATCTTACTTTCATTCATCATACTTGACTTTCTTATTCCCAATTTCCAGAATAAATTTTCTGTTCAGGTGATGTATTTTTATCTTAACTACCACAGGTCTAAAATGTAACTTACTGTCATCTCTCCTAAGTCAACCTCTCTGCTCAGTCTATTTTAAAATCGCTAATGTTTCATAGTTTGGTAAAAAAGGAACATGACAGCTGTCCCCACATCCCAAACCATTCTCAAGAGACCCTGGGAGGAAGAAAGAGCTATTTTACTTAGAAAAATAAATAAACACAAGAGTGCTATTGTTGTCTTTCCATGCAAATAGCTGCATTAAATCCACCAGACCTGAACTGAATGAAAAGCAGATAGAGTTTCCCCTTAACCAGCCCGATGGTAGCAGAGTGGGTTATGTGTTGGGCTGCCAACCACAAGGCTAACGGTTCAAACCTCTAGCCACTCTGTAGGAGAAGGACCAGGCTTGCTGCTCCCGTAAAGATTTTGAACTTTGGGAGCCCTAGGAAGTCATTCTACTCTGGCCCATAGGGTTGCTGTGAGGTGAAACCCACTCCTTTCCAGTGGGCGACCCAGTCATTTGGTGGGCGTTAAAGAGGCTATAGCTAGAAGGACAATATTAGTAATTCACTTCACTACAGTGTCTCACTGAGGTTCAGAGGACACAATGGTACCTTCCCTGTCTTTCTTTGCCAAAGACTCAGCAGAATGAAGGGAGTTCCTTGGTAGCAATTGACTATTAGCCAAAAGGTTGGTAGTTTAAACCCACGGAGAGTCCTGGTGGCTTAGTGGTGTTGGACTGCTAACCATAAGGTCAGCTGTTTGGAACCACCACCTTGCTCTGCAGGAGAAAAATGAGGCTTTCTACTCTTGTGAAAAGTTACTCTCTGAGAGACCCATGGGGGCAGTTCTACCCTGTCCTATGGGGTCATGATGAGTAGGAATTGACTTGATAGCTGTGAACTTGGTTTTTGGTTTGGGGAGAAGCACCTCAGAAGAATGGGCTGGGAATCTAGGCCCAAAGTTCAAAGCCTTGAAAACCCTACAGAGTAGTTGCATTTGCATCCACGAGGTCAACATGCATCAGAATGACTCAATGGCAACGAACAAAAACAATAGGAGGAGGATGAAAACAGTCCACTCCCCTTGCTCCATGACATATGATTAGCTCCTACTAGCTCCCCAAGGTCTGAAAGTCCATCTATTCATAGTCCTGAAAGATGCATTCATATCCCACACTCTATTTTTCCTCATAGTCTTTGGATATTAGGAATGTAGGCATTAAAAAATAACTATAGTTCTTAAGTTAACATTGATTTAAGTTAAGAAAATTAAGACTGAGAGAGCAAGCGTACGTCTGGCTTCAGAGAATGTTCCTGGCAGAGCTGGGGTGAGAACAAGGATGGCAGATTGTCTATGTTTTAGCTTCTTGGGATGGGTTCTGCAGAAAGAAAGCAACAGTAGGCTGAGAGTAATTCCTGAGAGATCACTTGAGTCAAAAGTCCTCTTAGCAGCCAACCTACCTGCACTGCTGTGAATTACTTAGTAGGACCCTTCTAGTTATAGTTTTTGTAGTGCCCACCAAAAGTCTGGATAGGATTACACAAATGTGAAGTGCTTGTGACCCACCAAGAGGATTGGATAGCTTGCTGACCACGTAAATAGAGTGCATGGCACCCATGTTAGGGTAGAGCCATGCAAATAAGGTATATGGACCATCCCATGAGGACTGGTCAGTTTTACCATCCCACTATGCTTAAAAGGAACCATCCCAGAAGTGGAAAGGGAGATCTTGCTATCTTCAAGAAGAGCCAAGGGTGGAGTATCTCCTTTGGATTCCCTGCACGGAACCTCCTTCATCCAGGAGATAGAGCTGTTACACCTAAGATGGCAAGTGACAGTGAGGAGCAGTGGCAGAGAAATGGTGGCAGTAGAGGTAGCAGAGGCAACTGAACAAAGACCATGAGATCACAGCTGGGACTGTCCCAGCTGGTGGAGCAAGAAAGCTGAATGCTTTCAGGTAGGAGCTTTCTGGAAGAGGGGAGGGCCTCTGGGCAGTTAAACTGGGGGAGCTCGGTTTGTCAACCCACAGAGCTATAGCCGAGTGCCTTTGTAAGCCTAGGAGTACTGGCAGAGTGGAGTTCCTAGGGGTGTTCACTGAAAGAAAAGAGCTTTGTAACACTTGCCCGTGCAGGACGGAGGCTAAGGGGTTGTGGGGCCTGGGTGTGCCTGTGGGTATGGCTATGAAGAAGCGGTCCTGAATGAAGAACCACCAATGTTGCATTTAATAGTTTAAGGAGCCTGCTATGCCCCAGGGCTCCTTAAATCAAGTCTATAACAACCAAACTATAACTTTAAGCGTATTCCACCTGAATTTAGAGACCATCCCAAGAGTAGATTTGATGTTTTGAACACTCATGCCTGACGATCAGACAAGTTTGGGGCAACATCGGTGACATCATGTACGAAGAAACAGAAAGGTCACTAAAAAGACAGACAGATCCACAATATCTGGTGGCCATTGTATCCGCCAGATAAGATATCAGACATCAGGAGAGGCAGAGAGGACCCCAGTGGGTGTCAGAAGACACTCTGACACTTGCTTGCGAATGCAGCTAAGTGGAAGGAGGCAGGGAGGAAGCAAAGAGCTGGACAGGAGCTCTCCAGGGCAGCTAGAGAAAGAAAGCATTCGAACGAAGCAGGTAACCCCGGGTGCTGGAACAGCACAAGAGAAGCACATGCTAGGGCTGGGGCTGGGGGTGTGTAAACAAAAGACTGAAGAAAAAGTCAAGCCTTGTAATATCCCTCAAGGCAAAATTATGTGGGCAAAATATTGAAAAATGCAGGAAACATTCAAACAGCGATTCTCAACCTGTGGGTCACGACCCCTTTGGGGGTCGAATGACCCTTTCACAGGGGTCACCCGATTCATAACAGTAGCAAAATGACAGTTATGAAGTAGCAACGAAAGGAAAGTAATGTTATGGTGGGGGGTCATCACAACATGAGGAACTGTATTAAAGGGTCACAGAATTAGGAAGGTGGAGAACCTCTGCATTACAAGAAGACGGAAGGAATACAGAGTCACTGCACCAACCAATTGGTTGCTAATCAAGCAGTCCGGGAATTAGCATTTTATGCACGAGGTCTTTGTGAGTCAAAGGCTGACTGGATGACATTTAGCAATAAGAACAACAGGACTAGATAGAATTATTGCCCAGATTACACGTTTCTTAAAGATGGGCCTCTACTTTACTTACACCCACCATTCCACCATATACTGTATCAGACACTCAGTATGCCCTGGATGAACTAAAATAAAACTAGAAGCCATAAGGAATGAAGATGTGAGAAGACTTCCCTGTACCTTTCTGACATGATTCACCTGAGTGCTAAATAGAAGGCACTGGAAGGAATATAAAGTCACCTTCTGAACGACCTGCATGCAGGGGTAGCAGGGAGGGAGCAGTTCCCTACTGCACGTGTTTTATAATAATAAAGTGGGCCTGGGGGAAAGTGTGCATCTGTCTTTTCATAAGCTGTGTTCCTATTTTCAAACCACCATTTTCTGTCCTCGAAACTACAGCTGTCCCTCTTTTTGCTTAGTCATGTAGCTGGGCCTCGAGTGAAGCTGGAAAACCAGGCCTGGCTATTCTGTGGATCCCATTCACCTTTAGTCACAAAGAAACACTGTATGAACATTCTTAAATTGGGGGGTTGAGACTTTCCCCAGGGGAATCCTCTTAGAGGCTGCTGAGTAGGCTGGTTGTGAACAGTGTCATTTATAAAGCGTATTTTGCATGAATTTCCACTCTATGACCGTTGGGTCTATTGCCTGTGGATTACATATGATAACTTGGCACGTAGCCATACTTCCAAAGGAAATGTCTGACTTTTTTTTCTTTCTTTTTTTTGGTCTCTGTGAAGTCTGTTGCCACAGAAACACAAAAGCTTTTCTTTCTTCTCAAATCCCAAACCAATTCTTTAAGGGAGATAAAAAAGAAAATAAAAGAAACACAAGTCTGACCTGTTCGTGCAATGGCTCTGAGAGCACCGGATATCTTTCCTGCCTTTCATGTGCTCTGTCAGCCAGAGGATGTACATGAACTTGAAGAAGCCAATCATCATTAAGAGATACTTTCTTGGTCAAACGGCCCAAGCTGGCAGCTTAGTCACATGCACCTTGCTTTGTCTCTAGAGCAAAGAACTAAGCATCCAAGTGAAACAGATACAGATGACACTCTGAGAATGCAGAACAACAAACAGAAGGATGAAGCATTAGATCCACATCAAACTGAAGGAGAGACTGAATGAAAACGATAAACGTGGTGACATTGAACTGCAGGAGCCTGGGCAGCCAGCCTAGGACAGTGCGGCCCTCTTGAAATAAAGTAAGCAGTGCCCTCCAATGAGAAGCACAGAAAGACACTTCAAGGAATCCCCAAGAGAAGACAGGGGTAATGTGTAGATAAGTCCACAGTGAAGCAAAGTGAGCTCAATGCAAACCCAAGGAGGGAATGCCCAGGAAGGCAGTCCATAGGGATCCATAGGGATCCAGGTGACCATATAGCAGGGAAGGAGCCAGAAAATAAGGACAAAATAACTCATCAGCAGTGATCCTTGAGCATGCAGGTGACTAGTGCTGGTTGAGCAGAGACTCTTTGGCATAGTAGCTAGATCTCTCCCAACCTACTTGACTCTGGCCACACCTCTTATCTCATATCTGGTCACTAACTGCCTTGTGGGAAGTGCTCTAGTGTCCACACCGGAGTTGGGGAAATCACACTCCCCTCTCTCCCAACCTTCTTGCAGACTAGCAGTGT